ATGACCCTGTTCCATGAGGTCTGCTCTTTTCTCCAGGTGTATGCAGTCTGTTGCAGTCCTCTTTCCTGTTGCTCTTTCAGGATTAGTTGTATTAATTATATTTTCATATTACATGCAGTTTTAGGAGGAAGCCTCTCTGTATCACCTCTCATGCCACCATCTTTAATCCCAGCTGCCTATTCACCTTAACAGTATCTTCTCATGAGAGGTTTTAGATTTGATGAAGTCTAATTTCTTATTCTTTTTTCTCTTGACTATTTCTTCATGTGTCATAAGAAAACTTTTCCTTATTCTGGATGCAAAGATATTCCTCTCTGTTTTCTCCTTGTATCTCTACAAATTTTGCATTTACACTTAGATCTAAGATCTGTTTCAATTATATATAATATACATATGGTTTTATATATAATATATATATGTTTTATATAATAGCATATATATTATATATTAAATATATATTAAAAATATGTTATAAATTTAATTTGTACTATAATTTGTATTTGCTGATATACAGAACATATATAAATGTATATTTTATATATACATATATATATAATATATATACACACACACACACAAACCATCTATCAAAACAATTCAGTACAAGAAAGGAAAATCTTTTCAACCAATGATGCATGACCAACTTGAAATCCATAAGGAAAAAAACTTAATTTCAACCCCTATCTCATACATATATAATAAACATAAAGATATACACATATAAAAATATAAAAAAATATATTTTATATGTTTCAACATTATATTATTAAAATATCATTTCATAATACATATTTTATTTGAAATATAAAATCTATTGCGATAAGGGTTGTTTAATATATTAAAAATTTTTATAACACGTGTTTTTTTAATATATATCTGGTATGGGTTGAAATTTAATCTTTTCCTTATGGCTACCTAGTTATTCCTGTACTACTGGTTGAAAATATTTCCATTTTCTGCACTGGAATTGTTTTGGTACCTGTCAAAAATCAACTGACACAGTCTTACTTAGTTCAAGTGAAGAAGTGTAAACCCACTAGTTTTATGTTTCTTTTTCAAGGTTGTTTTGGCTGGTCTAGGACCTTTGCATATCACAGATGCCTGTTGTCAATTTATTGTCTCTCAAGTCCAAGTGTACCCTTTAGTATCTGTGTTGTGATCGGAAACGCAGGCACTTTTCCTTGAAGTGAGCATGATATTAATCTTTATCGCCAGAGGGCGCTGGAGGGACATTTCTCTAGCAGGGTTGTGTTTTGGCTCCTTTTGCGAACAGGGTGCTGTGTCTGCTCTTCAGCGGCAGTCAGCTGCATGGTGGCATGTGAGTGGGACATGCACTGCCTGTGTGCCCAGAGCACAGAGTCCCTTGGTGACTTCACAACCCAGGCCCAGGCCCAAACCTTGCTACAGCCCTCCCAACAGACACCCCACACTCCAGGCTACCTGCTACAGCAGCCCCACGGCCTTCCCTCTGCACAGCCTGCAGCCTCAGCTTGCCTGAGCCCAGGAGAGCTGTTTCCCCACCCTACTGATTCAATGGGGCAGCGTCAGGTCTCCCCCCTCGAGCAGAGATCTGACCCTTTGTGCTCGCCTGTGCCCAGCAGGGTTCTGCTGCCCAGGAATTACAGACCAGCGCCAGTCCTGGCAACCCAGAGAGATTCTCCGCTGTCCAGTGGGCTGTAACACCTTCTCCAGGGAGGTCTGACGCCCTGCCTTGGGGAAGGGACCCTCCTAACTTGTCCTTCCTTGAATACTCCTCTGTAACAAGAAATTCCTATTCTGGTCAAATTCCTCACCACCCACCTGGGAATTACATACTGAGTTTAGGCGACTAACACTTAGTGAGTACATGGTCAGAAAAGCAGGCTCTGAGGCCAGGCTATCAAGGTTCATATCCCGGCTCTGCCTTTTGGCAGGCCTTGGACATGTGTTATAACCTCTCTGTCCTCAGTGTCCTCATCTGTAGAATGGGCACAATAATAGAACTTACTTACTTCTTAGGGTCAAAATGAGGACTAAAGGCGAATACGCATGTCAAGCACTTACGTAGCACCTAACACAGTAAATGCTCAGTTCCTGTCAGCTGCTGCTGTTGCATCACTGTTGCTTTTATTATCATCATCTTGTACCACTAACCAGATCATAAGCTCTTAATGAAGAGAGGATAATTTAATCCCAGCTCTCTGCTAACCCCAGGGTTCAGTGTTTTGCTATTTCCATATTAGAAGTGCAGGAGAAATTACAGCAGAAGCGAGCTGCTGAGGAATGTTCTGTTTCCCATAGAAAGAAGCAGCGAGGACGAAGCACATCCGTCTGCACATGGAAGGCGCGCTGACCGCCCGGGACAAGGTCGGGGTGCAGGATTTTGTGCTCTTGGATGCGTACACCAGCGAATCTGCTTTTCTGGACAATCTTCGGAAGCGTTTCAGCCAGAACCTTATCTATGTAATGTAACCCATTCCTCAGCTGTTTTCCTATGGTGGCAGTTCCTTTCCTGCCCTCACAGCCTTGAGAATCATGAACAATATTGTTTGGCAGAAAGACAGATGTGAGTGGAATGAAAAGAGGGTGGGGCTCACCAAGAACTCAGGGAGTTAATCCAGAAAGGACTCCCTGAGTTCACGCCCTTTGCCATGTGAGCTCATTCCGCATGCTCTGAATCTGGGCTGACCTTGAGACTTGCTCTAGCCAATGCAGGTGAGATAGGGCCAAGCATTGGACAAGCTTCATGGTTAATTTTCCTAAAAATGCCAAGAGACGAATAGCCTAATAAGAACAGGAGGGACTTACCTTACGGCTAAGATTCCATTTTAAAAGTTAGATTCCTAACTTATTCTTTGGTAATTAGCCAACAACCTATCTTCAGGCAGGGCAAGCAGTCTTAACTGATGTCCCTGCACTTGGGCGTAGCCACTCCCTTGGAGAAGAACAAGTTTATCCTCCACAATTGTCTAGGGGACTGACTGTGGATAGTAACAGTGTTTCTTACCAGAGATAGACATCATGAAACCGCCTGACAAGCCTATGCTCCCTGACCCTTTACCTTTATTCTATTCTTGAAAATCCTTAACAGACAGAATCCCAGCCTTTAAGCACACCTCCTTTCTGAGGTTGCCCACACTCTCTTAGAATGTGTATTTTTAAGACTTCTTACTGTTCAACTTACTACATTTGTCTCTAGCCTCTTCCAGTGGTGTCTTGGTCATTTTGCTATTTCATTCTATTTTCCAGACTTTAAGCACAAACCTTCACTTTCTCTGTCCCACTTCAGATAAGTGGGGAGGGGCTCCTGAGAGCTCCGATTTGCTTGCAAGTTCCTGTCAATGAGCTTCCCCTTCCTCTCTGCTTTATTCAAGTAAACCTGCCTTTGTCTCCCTTGATTCTAGCCTATTCCTCCCTTAGAGTGTATTCAAACAAAGTTTGTGCTCCGCTTCCCTGCTGTGAGTCTGCCCTTCAATTCTTTGCTGCGCAGGGACAAGAACCGACTCAGCCCCCTAACAATATCCCTGTAGTAGGTTAGCCATTAAGGGAGATGTTGAGGGATCACGGTCTGATGCACTTTGTTCCTTTGTGTTAAGGCCTTTATGGCTGCCAGGGAACCCAATCTAGGCCCCAAAAGGGAATCTGTCAACCTATGTAACTTTAGGGGCTAGGGATAGATCTAAGGCCTCGGATGCCATCTTGAGGACTCTTTTTCATCTCTCTGCTTTCTTTTGCATTAGTTTCCTTCTGGGGCAGCCTCTCTGTCCCAGTGGCAAGATGACTGTCAGCAGGACCACGCTGGCACGTTATTAATTTAGACACGTTATCCACTGAGAAGATGGCAAGTCCTCCTGGAGATGGATGTTGGTTGGCCCTGATTGGCCCATCTTGGGTCATGTGCCTATCTCTGACCCAATGCCCATAGGTGGAAATGAGGGATATTCTGATTGGCCAGGCTATACCCAAGCCAGCCCTGGAGGTGAAGGCTGAGAGCTAGAAGTTTCCTCAAAGGAATCTGTTGGATAAAAGGGGACTAGAGGCCAGGAAGACAGAAATAAGAGATGTCTACTGTCCCATGAATCTTTCAGGGTCAAGACTAAAGCCCTTGGCCAGAACTCTTCTTGGATTGCTCTGGGGGCATTTTTATTAAATTCTCTATGAATCACCCCCCCACCCCCCGCCCACTTGTGTGATTGGTCACTTTTCAAGTAAGGGCTTCAAAAAGTTGAAGAGTAATAGAATCCACCACGGAAATCTAGGTAAATTCTACAGTGTCTCTGTGTGTGTGGCAGGTGTTTATTAAATGTGTTTAATTTTATTGAGATTTATTACCTTCGGTAAGAGTAAGACAGTCAGAAGCAGTTTAAAAAATTTATCTTGCAGTTATTTTGTCTGTGACTTAATCTATATGTTGAAAGTAAGGTTACCAGGAGAAACAAGCAGTGTGCCTCTCAAGCTATGTATTTTTAGTTGTAGAAGTAGATTTTATATGTAAATTCATCTTATGTATAAGCCAAGAGAAAGACCATGGCATGCAGAGGTATAAATGCGATGACAGGATCATCATATATAAACTAAATATTCCCAGTTTGAACAGATACATTTCAGAAACTACCCCGGAAGGTGTCTACCGATTGAAGCAATGCAGGATTTTAGTCAAAATACTCGTCTCTGTTCCAGTTCTCCGTTCAACTTTGTCCTGGAGATTTGGAAACATTCATTGGAATGATTTTAGCATAATTTCTTGTAAGCTTGAGTACTGCCAGTATTTGAGACTCTGGAATGAGAAGGCACCAACCAACTCAGAATCTGAAAACACCAAATGCGTTTTCAAAGGAGGCCACATGTTTTTTTTTCCTATATGAGTTTAGTGCTTTGTTTATTCATAACTATATTCTGAGAAGTTTTGCATTCGTGGTCCTATTACAAATGTAAGTACTTGAAAAAGCTGAAGAGTAATAGAACCCACCACGGAAATCTAGGGAAGTAAAGGCCAGTAGTGGGAGCGCTTGCCCAGCTTGAAATGGCTGGCATGCATACTCGCCCTTTCACGCAAGGGCCAGAGAGCCCTTTGTGGAAAGTACGTCAGAGGACCGCGCTCCCTGTTCAAGCTGTCCGCCTCACCTCACAGTTACATGGCACGCAGGCGTTTCATTCCAGTAGGGACAGTGGGTCTCCACCACCACTGCATTAGGAATAAGCCCCCAAGGGCTCCACGCCCTGTGTGATCTGAACCTGCTCCCTCTTCATCCCCATCTTTTACCATTTTCCATCCTCCCCTCCCTCCCTGGCCTCAGACGTAGCCAGCCTGCCAGGCTTGTCACTTCAGCCTGAAATGCCCTTCCTGCCGACTTTCCTCATGACTGGCTCCTCATCCTCAAGTCTGGGTTCAGATGTCACCTCTTGAAGAAGCCTTCCCCGCGCCCGCTGGCTAAGGCAGGCTTCCTCAGCCGCTTGTTCCCATTACCCTGTTAACACCTTTGTCACCCCATTGAAGCAGTCTTCATCCCTTGGCTGTCTGCCCCACGCCCCCGCTTCCACTCAGTGGCAGTTCCCTGAGCGCAGAGACGGCACTTGTCTTATCTGTCATGCGCTATGCCCGGCGCTGAACGAATGCATGGGGATCTTGGGCCGTAGCCTTGTGCACTCCGGAACTCCTCACTGCTGCTTTGGTCCGCTCCTCTAGACGTATATCGGGACGCTCCTTGTGTCTGTGAATCCATACCAGGAGCTTGGAATCTACACCAGGAGCCAGATGGGACTTTATCAAGGGGTCAATTTCTTTGAACTGCCACCACATGTGTAAGTAGCACCGATGAGGTCATCAGGAGTATTTTTCTATTTCTTTCCATCCTCTCTTTTTTCCTTCCCTCTCTCCCACCGTCCTATCCATCTATCCATCCATCCATCCATCCATCTGTCTAAATCCTTGATAAACATTCATTAGGTTCTGTGCCTAGCTTACTGTATCCACCTTCCTGTGAAATAAGTCTTTCAATGCAGTAGAAAACATCAGATTATGGTGGAATCTCAACTCAGATATGATAAGAAATGGAATCTTTGTGTGACTGTGGAGGAATCCAAGAGCAATGGCTCGAGAGGCGTCTTCTCTGGGAAGTGGGATGCTACAGTCCCTCTACTGGTGCCTGAGTAGCAAGGCGGCTAAGAAGAAGGCCCGTTGGTAGAAATTCACCAGGGCAGCTGATCTGAGAGACAAGCAATTTCCTGCCTGGCCTATACGTGACTCAGCTTTGCAGAATTTCCCATTTCTCCTTTCTGGTTGACTTCTGGGCTAATATTTGGGTTCTCCCTCCATTTTATCTTGGTGACGCAGCTATTTCACCTCCCAAAGCATTTACAAACTTCTGCATCACTACCACCAGTGATTCTGAAATAGCCATCTTTCAAACTTGGCCGGGTTATACTCTTGGGAGACCTTCAGCCTTTGGTTTCTGATCTTGGAGGTAAAGTCCATACTTTTACCTTTTGTCCTAAATATAGCACAGAAATTTTAAAAATCTTTTTGGTTTTCTGTCTTTATCCTCTGTATTCTAGGTTTTGAGGGAAGGAGAGAACATGAGATCTATCTATCTAATTTAATATTTAGACAAGATGTCATTTCCACCTACAGTGAATAGAATATCTCTTTGGGATGTAATTTAGTATCTGGTTCATTCTGATATCAATGCTGGTGGCTTTAAAAAAATAAACTAATAAATGTTCAAAAATAATTCCCCGATTGCTTAAATTCTTCACTTCAACTCTCTACTATTTGAGTTTCGCTATCTAGTACACGCCACGTGTGATCAGCCAGTGGTCGTGGTGGGGGGTTGCTCTCTGTCTGAGCTCAGTGTCCTTGTCCAACAGTATGCATGCGGCTTCCTGGAGGCAGGGGCCTTTGCCCTTAGGCTCTTGGGGGTGTCAGAGCCGCTTCCCACTCCTTCCGCAGCTATGCCATAGCTGACAACACTTACCGCACGATGTGCTCTGAGCTAAATAACCACTTCATCCTCATTTCCGGAGAAAGTGGGGCAGGGAAAACGGAAGCCTCCAAGAAGATTCTCCAGTATTTTGCAGTGACCTGCCCAATGACCGAGTCACTCCAAATAGCCCGTGACAGGCTACTGCTCTCCAATCCAGTGCTGGAGGTAAGCAATCCTTGAGGACCGCGAGAGGGCAGTCCAGGGAGGTCACTGAGTAAGGAGAGCCCTTTGCCCGGGGAGCTCACTGAAGCGGTCGGGTCACAGTCTGGGTAGTGATGGCACTTACCTGCGTGCACAGGGTACCTGCCTCTTAGGAAGTTTGGAGGGTTAAACATGATGAATGCATAAAAAAATATGCAGTACTTGCATAATGCTCTATTATTTATTAATTTTTTCTTATTTAATGAAAATCAATTCATTATTAGTTCTGCTGCTGCAATCCACTGACTTGATGATTTGAATGTTATGTTCTCCTGAGCTTTTGTTGCCCTTCATGTGAAAGATGTTTATGGGTTGAAGGAATTTTCCCAGCAGACCTTTGGGCTAAATGATTTATCTCATTGATACAAAAAGGGTCTGGTGATGGAGGCTGTCAACTGTGCCTTCTAGCATAGGAAGGGCCTCGGGTCCTATAATCCTCTCCTTAGGCCATTTCTAATCTAGCCCTAGACTGGATTCTAGAGAGAAGATATTTTTCCCTTCTTTTCTCTGGGACCAATATTGATGTGTTTATCATTAAATCCTCTGTACATCGTGATTCCTTCTTAGAAGATAAAGTATTTAAGACAGCTTTTATCCCTGGCTTTCCCCGCCCTCCTCCAGTTTCATAATAAGCATATCATTTGGAGTTAGGAATCTGATGAGCATGGTGAGCTTAAATGACAGTAGAAAATAATTTGGTTCAGTCTCTGCCCCTGCTTTGTATTCCAAGGCTTTTGGAAATGCCAAAACACTCCGGAATGACAACTCCAGCAGATTTGGAAAATACATGGACATACAGTTTGACTTGAAGGTACATGGAAGTTCCTATTACTGGTTCATAGGGACCCCTCCACTTGTCAGTGGCAGATTCCCAACCCAAGGCACCTTAGGGGCAGAAGGGTATTCACTGGTTCGAATAGTCAAAAATCCAGGATTAGGGCTAGTTTTAGGAAATGCAAACAAAGACCATATTATACCATCTAGATGGGTAGAAATTAAGAAGTCTGATAATTTCAGGTGATGGGGAAGTTGGGAGTCCTTAGGAACTCTTACATAATGCTGGTGGGATGCACATTGGTGCAACCCATTTGGAAAATAATATATTGTGAAATTGAAACCACATAATCTCAGGTGGAGCCATTTCACTCCTGCAGATATTCCTACACATGTGCAAGGCTCCTGATGGTCAAAGGACTGGTAACAACACCATCTGGAGAGGACTGAATGTCCATCAACAGGAGAACAGCTGAACTGTGGGACAGTCTCACAGGGAGGTGTTTTATAGCAGTGGGAGCCAATGAACAACAGCTACACCACATGGACGGCTCTTGGGAACGCACTGTGTCAGTGTGATGACATTTCTTACAAAGCTTGAGAACAATCAAAAGTAAATAATATTCTGTTTAGTCATACATGACTATATGGCATGGATTGGCAAACATTTTCAGATGGGGCCAGATAGTAAATACTGCAGGCTGCATGGGCCACAGGGCCTCTGCTGCAGCTACTCAGCCCTGCTGTTGCAGCATAAAAGCAGCCAGAGACAAGACATTAAGAATGACTGTGGTTGTGTCGTGCCCAGAATTTGATGGGGCTAATAATGCCTGTGGGAAGCTCTCAAGGACATATGATTGCAAGTGACAAAGTGACACTTCGACTGGAGAACAAATGCAGGCTGAATGTTGAATATAGTTATGAGGATGACTGGCTCATGTTTCCCAGAGGCTGGTACATGGCCTTCTAGTGGATTGCATATAGACTCTGAAAAAAAATATTAATAGGTATGTTTTCAAACTTTGTATGGAAATGCAACACACATAGTGAAAAGAACAAAAGACATGAATACAGTGCAATGAATTTTTACATGTCTCTACCTGTGCAGCCACCATGCAGCTCTAGATATAAAAATTTCTAGCACCTAGAAGGTTCTCCCATCTTTTTCTGACAATTCTCCCCTTCCCAAAGGTTGCCACTGTTCTGACCTCTATGGTCACACATTAATTTGCTGGTTTTTAAATTTCATATAAATGGAGTTATACAGTATGCTTTGTGTCTAGCTTCTTTCAGTCAACATGTCTGTGAAATTCATCTATGTCACTGCCTGTAGCAGTTCATTTTTGATTGTACAACTCTTATCACACCTGTTCTCCTGCTGATGGACGTTTGGGTTGTTTCCAAGGTGAGGCTATTGCAAATGATGCTCTGAACATCCTTGCACATGTCTTTTTGTAGATGCAAAACACTCATTCACACAGGGTATATACCCTGGAGTGGCACTGCTGTGTTCTTACAGCAATGTTATGATAGTTACTGACAGTTCCAGTTGTTCCACACCCTTGTCGACATTTGGTATTGTCAGTTCTTTAGTTTTAGGCAGTCTGATGGGGTCTTTTGTTTATATCTCCTCACTGTAATTTGTTTATATCTCCCTGAGTATTAATGAAGTTTTGTTCATTGGCAACTCAGAGATCCTCTTTGATGTTGAAGTCTTCTACCTATTTTTAATTGAGCTGTTTTTTTCTTATTGATTTGCAAGAGTTCTACATATATTCTGAAATACAAATTCTTTAATGGATATATTAAAAATAATAAGACAGTGTGATGTTGATACAAGAATATGAACAGGCTAATGGGCCAGAATAGAGTCCAGAAAGATCTCTATGGATATGGTCACTTATGCTTATGACAATAGCATCTCTGTGATTCAGTAGGGATAGGATTGTCCTTCCAATGGAAATCCATACAGATAAAAAGGTCTTTGAACTTCTACCTCACTCCATGGTCAAAAATAGTGATGGATCATAGCCCTGAAAGAAAAGTAAAACAATCATGCTTCTAGACAAGAACATAAAAAATATCTTCATACCCTTGGGTAGGCAAAAATCTTAAAAAATTTTTTTTTTTGCAAAATCTTTTTAAACAAAATCCAGAAAATGCTAAGCATAGAAGATTGATAGATGGGACTTCATTCTAATTAAGAATTTCTGTCCATCAGAGGACACCAGTAAGAGAGTGGCTCGATAGTTGTCACTGCCACATATTTTTGTCCTATTTCAAAGGGCATTCCCATAGGCGGGCATATCATCTGTTACCTGATAGAGAAGTCTCGAGTCGTCTATCAAAACCAGGGCGAGAGGAATTTCCACATCTTCTACCAGCTGCTAGAGGGTGGCGAAGAGGACCTTCTGGCTTACCTGGGACTTGAGCGAGACCCCCAGCTCTATAAATACCTCTCACAGGTCAGAAGAACCAGTACCTAGCTTTGGGAGCCCTTTGCAGGGGAGAATCTGGGGTAGTTTGTGTGGGGTTAGGGAGTACTCTGTGGAATGTTCAAGAACTTCCTCATTACTATCTGGAGGTATCCTCCTAACTGGTTTCTTGACACTTATCATAGCCCCTCTACTTGTGCCTGGCAGCCATATCATCTTGGTAGAGTGGCCAGTATCTAGATGAGTCATTCTCGGCCCTGGCTGGTATCAGAGTCACCCATGCATCTTGTTAAATACACAAATGCCTGGGCTCTACCCTCCAGAGATTTGGATTTAATTGGCCTGGGGTGGGACCTGAACATCAGGCTTGTTTTAGACATTCCCCTGTGATTAAAGATATTTACATCATCCCCTGGTGATTCTAATGCACAGCCCAGTAGGGAACTGCCGGGCTAGGTGTGACAGCACACGCTGTCGATCTGTGCCCACAACCTGTGCTGCTTTATTCTGCTTTCAAAACAAGTTTGGAAGACTTGTTCTACCTTCCTGCCTGCTACTCTAGGATTGTTAGCTGCCAAATGATGTACTCCTTTGCAGAAATAGTTCAGGCCATGCCCGTACGGATTCCTGGGACCTAGTGATGTAAAATTGACTTTCGGAATATAATTTCCCAGCACTAATTTTTCTGCAGCCAGCACTGAGGCTCTAGAATACCCAGACTGTGTAGCGTTTATCAGTATTTGAGATCACTAGAACTTTTTTGCCCCAAGATTTTTGGGTCTTTCTCTTCTCATTGGGCCTGACTTTGAATGGAGGTCACTTGACATAGTTCAAGTAGGGACCTCATTTGAGAAAGAGAATAAGATCTTATAAAGTGAATCTTGTAAAATGAGGACCAATGTTTCATAGCAAGCCATGGGGAAAAAGCAGACATAACTGAAGCTTATCTTGAAAAGTGAAGCTAAATAATGAAAATAAAATAATCCTATCATTTCATTTTATATTCAACAAATTTTGTACTAATTCTTAGAATGAAGAATGAATCAAATTTGATTTTTTTTCTTTTTGAGGACCTAATTTTTCCAGCAGAGCTGTATGGTAGCATCACATTTGGCTTTTTATAGCATGACTGGAGAGGATCCGTTTGTAAAAATATTTGAGGGCTTCACTCGTTTTCCCAAGGGCTTCTCCTAAGCCTTTGATGATCAGATCATTTTCTTTTGGCATGATTTCCTCGTGCCGCAGTGGCTCTGGAAATGGTTTGGGCAATTCTCCAGTTTTATTTCGATCATGCTAATATCTCCCCAAACCCTGGCAACCTTTGTGGCTTGACTTTGCATTGTGTTTGCCCAGCTTCCAAACCTCAAGGTGTCTTCCAGGGACTGACTTAAACTGACCCTACCCTTGCGGGTGTGGGGGCAGATGCTTCTGGTTGAGTGGGAGCAGGGATATTTGGGAGGCTGCAGATATAGCCCTGGCCAGTTCACTGGTAAATATTTTCATGGTATGACGTGTTTCGTTTCCCCACACAACAAGGAAATCTCTTAAGATAACAAATCTTCAGATAACCAGGAAACTGGGAATACACTCTAGAGTGCTTTCCCTTTAAATTGTGACACTGGAGGTCTGTTATTTATTTAAAAGATACCTTCTAGATTTAGTGGGCAATCACATCCATACAATCTGTGTTTCTCTACAGGCTTGGCTTTACTTCCTTGAGTGAGGGTCTCCTTCCGGCTAGTCCTAAAGTGAAGTTTCTGCTGGAGGTTGCTAAGTGCATCAAGATAGTTTTCTGGATTTAAATACTGTCATTTCCTTGGTGTTTCAGCAGATGTTTACTCAGACAAACAACTTCCATTTGCTTAGCAAAAATGGCAAAAGCAATTTTTAAGAACACATACGAAGAGATATACCAAGAATATGTAACTTGGAAAGTTTTCCCCAAACAGATAAAATTCCAAATAAACGTGAAAAAATCAGCGGCTGGCAAATCGTCATCACATGCTAGACAGAGTAAAACCCATTTTCTCACAGTTCAGAACAGTGCGGACACTAGCTCTTGCACGCTTGTAGAGAAAACTGTTTTGATTTAGGAATAGGTGTTCACACGCCTACCTCTCATAAAAAATGCTGTCAAGTGACCCAATTTTATGTCAACAGGGTCATTGTGCCAAAGAGTTGTCTATTAATGACAAGAACGATTGGAGAACTGTTTCCAGTGCCTTTTCTGTCGTCGATTTTACTGAGGATGACCTTGAGGTATGGGTCCTGAGCGCAGAACAGTCAGTATGGTCAGGGAGTGAGGGAACAATCCCAGTTTCCTGGGGACTTCGTAGTAAGGTTGCTAGATTCAGGAAATAAAAACACAGGACACTTAGGTACATTTTCATTTCAGATAATGACTTTTTTTTAGTATGAGTATGTCCCATCATTGCATGGAATGGAAAAACTATACTGAAAACTTAGCCCTTGCTTATTTGAAATTCAAATGTTAATGGGCCTTCTGCATTTAATCTGGCAGCCCTAAATTTCCCCTGTGTTGTGTGCAGGGAGGAAGCCATGTTTCCCTTCCCTCCAAGACCAGTCTCAGATATTTAGATCCCCTAGAACTACGGGATTATCACTTACTGGTGCTCCTATTTGGGAAACAACTGGAACAAACTGTAGGATATATAAACATTTTTTTACATCTTTGTCCTTTTTCTTGATGATTAAAACTATTGTTCTTTCACAGACCAGAATAGAATTAAAAAAATACACATATGCACACACACATGCACATGCATATATATATATATATATATATA